AGACCAATACCAAGTTATACCGAGCTATACCGAGCAATACAAAAAAATACCTAGTTTTTCCTAGAAAGAACTCGATATTTTTTTGTACTGCTCGGTATTGCTCGGTACAGCTCGGTATAACTCGGTATTGGTCTTCACATGATGATATTCCTCGTTATTATCAAATAATACCTAGCAATACCGAGCAAAAACCGAGTTTTTTGGTGGTGGAAGGACGTATCTCTATGTCAGGTGGGAGGACGCAATAAAAATTCCGCTTCGCGTGCCTCGTGTGAAGTAGTATTTCGTTGATGTTACTTCTCCTCACGACCATTTCTTTGTTACTTTTTCACTTCATTTGATGACATCGGATTGGAAGTCGCTACGGGAGTCCGCTCACTACGAAGGTAACATCTTTCTCCACAACAAGACGGTTGCGAGAGAAGTATTAGCTCACAAGTACATAAATTTCTTAAATCCTCTAAATGATGGGACGTTGTAAACCCGGGATTTATCATCAATTCAGATTTACTACACGATTTCAAATCGTTTGGCAAAATCTACTATAAATCCGACGTAAATCCTACTACTTCCAAACAGCCTCTAAATTTTTGTGAAAAAAAATGACACTATTTGAATGATACTAAAATTTACTTTATCACAATAAAGAATGAATTTATTATCAAATAAAAAAATTCACTTGATTGATACTAAATTTAACTTGATCACAAAAAAATTACCTCAAAGGAGCAATTTTGGTAGAAGTTGTTGGCCAGGATTTTAGGCTGTAAAGTTACAGTAATAATTGGCTCAGATCTTCCCGGAATTGCAATGCTCTTTGCTTCAATCTCAGTGTGCTTGCCTAGTAATTGCCCCAAATGCTGCATGAATAAACACTCAATGCATTTTAGCTCATAAATTTTTTTTCTCTAAATTTAGGCTTTATTTGAAACCATTTTTTTATTACTTTTTAAAACTGAGTTTTAATACAAAAATTAAAAAATCAACCCAAATGAAACCTTATTCTCAGCAGTTGCTTCATATAATTAACTAGTCTGTAACGGTTAAAATCACTACAAATAAGTAAATTTCTATTTTGTAACCGTTAAAATTACTGTAAAAGTGTTGCTTTATTTATGTGATTTTAGGTTTGGTTTGGTACAGTTTTCTTATTGCTTCTTAAAATAATTTTGCTTTGAGAAGCAGTAAGAAAGCCGTCCCCAACGAAGTCTTAGTAGGGATTTATAGCTGAATACCTGTTCAAAGAGATAAAAAGGTGAATGAATAGTATCAGGCATGATTGCAGTGACAAAAACTGCAGCTGCAATCTTCTCAGGAAAGGCATCCATGGCTTTAGCCAAGCTTAATCCACCAAAACTATGACCAACTAACACTACCTTCTCTCCTTCAGACACTGAAGCCATCAAGTCCATTAGAGGTTGGGCATACTCATCGAAGGTGGAGACATCTTCAGGCATTCTTCGTGGATCAGAGCCGCAGGCTGCAAGATCAACGGCTGTCACCGAGTATCCCTGAGACCTTAAAATGGCTACCACCTTATACCAGCACCAGGCACCATGGCCTCCTCCATGAACTAAAATGATCTTCAGACTATTCTGCTCGCTCATCCTTAGTTTCTGCTCTTCTGATCTGATCTGCTTCTTGCACCTAAAGGTCCTAAATCATGTCATTTATATATAATTTTTTTTAATATTTTATATTCATGTGAGGGGTACTTAGTTAATTTTGATATATTTTAAGTAAAAATCATCGTCTTCATTATTCGGTCCAAATTCAAATAATTTAGCCTTAAGAGATGCGAAGATGCTTTGGAAGAGGTCAAATCATTCTATTTATACAGCAAGAAAATAGATCATCCTGAAAATCACTACTGTGGAATCAATTACTTCTCTGTTGCTTGGTGGAGAGGTAGATACATCTCTCTGTGGAATCAATTACCTGTTAAAAAATCCACATATTGGGAATTCCTGTGTAGTAAGGCCAGTAAAATTAAAAGCTGCATTACTTTCTCTGTTGATGCTAACAGCAATTTTTCTTTCCTTTGGGATCATTGGTGCGATGGTTCTTCGGTTGCTGACTATCTTTACACTCAGAACCTTCAATCCATAATTCCTACCTTATCTGACTGGATAATTTCTCAGGTTGTCCATGGTACTAGCTAGAAAATACCGAATGTCTTTGATAATAGACTTGCTTCTCTCATTAACTCTGTTATTATTACTGAGCATCCTGAAAATCACTACTGGTTGGACAAGCAGAAACCAAAATTTCGAGACATTAATTCTCAGTTTTTTGCTTCCATGCCTAAGGTTTCTTGGTACAAATATATTTGGCATAAAAAATCTGCTCTCCACTACTCTGTTTATGCCTGGCTGGCCTTCCGTGGGGGCTTAAAAACTGCAGATGTGCTTGCTGTCCGTGGTATATCTGTGCCAAATACTTGTTGTTTCTGTCATAGTGAGAAGGAGACTATTTCTCATCTGTTTTTTGAATGTCATTATACTTTTGACATTGCTAATACTCTTCTCCCCTGGATGCAAAGACTGTTTATGAGGCCTAACATTCACCAACTTTATGACTTAATTTGGGAACATGGCTTCATAACCAATAACAGAAACTTTTATCTCCTTACCGCCTCTTCGATGGTTTATTTTATATGGAGAGCAATGAATGACCGGTTATTTAGTGGCATAATTGATTGCAAAGCCACAATAATTGCCAAAATCAGGAAAGCAATTTCAATTAAAACTCATGGATGGAAAATCTGACTGGAACCAGTATCTGTGTGCTGAAGCAAACCTGGCCCTTCTCTATCAGCTGAATCTGGAGCTTTATGTGTTTTTTGGGGATTATGCTAGATATATGAAGACCATACCAGAGTGAATGAAATATTTTATTATGCAAAATCGGAAAAAAAAATATTAGCATAGTAAGAATCTTAATTATTTGTTATGTCAAACATCATTACTATAAATTAACATTGTTGCTGTAACGCCCCAGATATCAATAGTGAAAGGATTCATCTGACATTCTTTTTCCATATTCCTTTTTTTTTTCTTTTATCTCTTTTTATCTCTTTCTTCTCGTTCAGATCAATACAGTCATCCAGAGATAATTGCATTACAGGAAAGAAATACAACAGTGAAATCGTATCAATCAATTCGTCCAGTCAATAGTATCAATCGGCTCAAAATCCCAATAACGATCAAATCAATACATCGTAAAATCAATTGAAATCAAATCAATACAATCGGCTAATACAATTGAAATCAATTAATACGATTAATCAATGCAATAAAATCATATACAACAATCAAATCGATAATTCAATAAACAATCAACCCAATCAATCAATCAATCAATGATCGGTACTATGAATCAATGTAATGAATCGATGTATCAATGGATCTGTAGTATCGGTATCAGTACCAGTAGTATCCATAGTGTCTATGAATCATTGAATCTATAATAGCGATGAATCAATAATGTCGATGTCTATAACCATGAATCCATACGATATCCATATCCATAGCGGTGTCGATATCCATAAATCAATACAATTTCCATATCCATATCAATGTCGGTATCCAGTGATAAGAGTAATTTGCAATCTCAATGAAATCGTACAGTAACGATGAATCCGTAAATCCATAAATCCGTCAATAAATCCGATCAATAATAAATCAATTCAATAAATCCATCAATACAGGAACCAAGCCGCTCGCGGGGATAATCCGGCAGTTTTGCCGGCAGCGAGACGTGGGTTTTTGTTAGACAGGGATAAGCAACGCATCGCTCGGGCGCCGGTGCTCACGGATTCCGAAGAAGAGCAAGATCAGACGCGTCATGCTCAATTTTCTGATTCAGACAAAGAATTGATTCCTCATCGGAGGAGACGGCACACCGTACGGGGAAGACAATCAGGTGATTTTCGAGTGAAATTAGACATTCCATTTTTTGATGGTAGATTGCACATTGAAGATTATTTAGATTGGGAGAGATCCGTTGAAACATTTTTTGAGTATATGGATATTGAACCCGAGAAACAGGTAAAATATGTCGCCTGTAGATTAAAGGGGGGAGCTAGTGCGTGGTGGCAACAAGTAACCCAATCTAGAAGGCGGGAAGGCAGAGGAGCGGTGCGCAATTGGCTGCGGATGAAACAACTGCTCCGAGGGCATTTTTTACCGACTGATTATGAACAGATGCTGTATGTGCAATATCAGCATTGCACGCAGGGAGCTCGATCTGTGAACGAATACACTGAAGAATTCTATCGGTTAAGTGCCCGAAATAATCTCAATGAATCCGATAACCAATTGGTGGCAAGGTACATTGGGGGATTGAAGGAGTCTATTCAAGATAAGTTAGAGCTTAATGCAGTATGGTCATTATCTCAAGCCATAAATTATGCTCTTAAGATTGAATTACAGACCAAGAGGCAGGCATCAGTCAGGTCTTACAGACGGAATTGGGAGCAGCCCGTGGAAGCCCCGAAAATACCATTACAGAACACAGTTAATGCAAGCAAGCCTCAGATCTCAACCACTGGAGCAGGACAGACCACATCTGTAGCGGGACAACCACAAACACCTGGGCCTAGAATGCTGGAGCCCAAAGGAATTATGAAAGGGAAGGCTCCAGTGAAGGAGAATCCTTATGCCCGAGCATCAACTTTGAAATGTTTTAGGTGTTTCCAGCCAGGACACAAATCTAACGAATGCCCCACACGTGGCCAACTGCAAATACTGGAAGGAGAAATTGAAGAAGTGGAAGATGGTAATGATGAATGGGCTGAAAATGTAGTGGAAGATGTTGATGGCGATGATGGGGAACCAGTTGTGTGCGTGCTGCAAAGACTACTGCTAGCTCCTCGACGTCCGGCTAAAACACAGCGAAATGCACTTTTCAAAACAAAGTGCACGATTAAAGGGAAGGTTTGTGATGTGCTCATTGATACAGGTTGTACCGAGAATGTTATTTCTCGTGCCGTAGTTCAATCACTACAGCTTAAAACAGTGAAAAGTCCCAACCCGTATAAAATCAGTTGGGTTAAAAAGGGGATTGAAATGGCGGTGACGGACATGTGTAAGGTGTCTTTTTCCATTGGAAAACATTACGCAAGCGAAGTATTATGTGATGTGGTGGACATGGATGTGTGTCACCTTATTTTGGGCTGCCCTTGGCAGTTTGACGTAGGAGCCATCTACGATGGACGCGCCAACACCTGCTCGTTTGAATGGAAAGGAAAAAGGCTGCGGTTGTTGCCCAGGTCGCCGGATCAGGACTCAAGCAATGTCAATGCTAAAACTGTGTTGTTCTCTGTATCGGGTAAAAGGCTGTTAAATGAGTGGAAAGACTCTTATTGCATTATGGCATTGGTGATCCAAGAGCAAAACCGGAACTCTCAAACAAGCACTATTCCTGAGATTGTCAAAAATTTACTGCAACAATTTGCCGATATTGCTCCAACAGAACTTCCATCTGGACTTCCACCGATGAGAGCCATTCAGCACCAAATTGATTTTCTGCCAGGAGCGAACTTGCCAAACTTACCACATTACAGAATGAGTCCTAATGAACACTTAGCATTACAGCAGATTGTAGACGAGATGCTGGAGAAGCAATTGATTCAGCCGAGCTTGAGTCCGTGCGCCGTGCCGGCTCTTCTAGTACCCAAAAAAGACGGTAGTTGGAGGATGTGTATGGACAATCGATCCATCAATAAAATCACTGTCAAGTTCAGATTTCCAATGCCAAGGTTAGAAGATATGCTGGATAAGTTGACGGGTGCTCAAGTTTTTTCTAAACTTGATTTGAGGAGTGGATACCACCAGATCCGTGTTCGTCCTGGTGACGAATGGAAAACAGCGTTCAAAACGCGCCAAGGATTGTATGAGTGGAAAGTAATGCCATTCGGGTTATGCAATGCGCCGGCAACATTTATGCGGTTGATGAACGAAGTGCTTAGACCCGTCCTGAACCGGTGCTGTGTAGTGTACTTTGACGACATCCTGGTGTTCAGTTCAACATTGGAGGATCATATCCAACACCTTACAACCATTTTTGGTATCCTAAGGGAGAACCAACTCTTTTTAAATCTGACCAAATGTGATTTTGCATCTCCACAGGTGGCTTTCCTCGGCTTTATTATTTCAGCGACAGGAATTAACGTGGATCCAAAGAAGGTTGCTGCTATTGTTGACTGGCCTACTCCTCGTACTCTTTTTGAGATCCGCAGTTTCCATGGTTTGGCCAATTTTTACCGCAGATTTATTAAGGGATTCAGTATTGTAATGGCTCCAATAACTGATGTGTTGAAACAACCTCAATTTTCATGGTCCACTGCTCAACAGGAAAGTTTTGAAGCAATTAAATCAGCACTTTCTACCGCTCCTGTGCTATCTTTGCCAGATTTTGAAAAGCCATTTATGGTAGACACGGACGCGTCGACGGTAGGAGTTGGGGCGGTTCTGTCCCAAAACGGTAAACCCGTAGAATATTTCAGTGAAAAGCTGAGTCCGTCGAGGCAACGCTGGACGGTTTACGAGCAAGAGCTTTATGCCGTTATTAGAGCTCTTAAGCAATGGGAGCATTATTTATTGCATCAGGATTTCGTCCTTTGTAGTGATCACAAAGCATTGCAATATATTAATTCTCAAAGAAACATCAATAGAATGCATGCGAGGTGGATTATTTTCTTGCAGAAATTCACCTTCGTGTTGAAACACCGTAGTGGAGCTGAAAACCGGGTGGCGGATGCCTTGAGCCGCAGAATTGCTATTTTAACTCAAGTGCAGACTGATTTTACTGGTTTGGAACATTTGAAGGATCTGTATCAGCATGATGAGTTCTTTCGAAGCTTTTGGAACAAATGCATCAATAAGGAGCCTGTGGTTGAGTATTCTCTTCAAGATGGATTTTTATTTAAAAACAAACTACTGTGTGTGCCTTTGTCATCGTGGAGGCAGCAAATAATATCAGAAGCGCACGCGGGTGGGCTATCGGCTCACAACGGCCGTGATAACACAATTGCGCAATTGCTAAAGCGATTTTTTTGGCCTCAATTGCGAAGAGATGTCACTAAATTTGTGCAGTGATGTGCAGTGTGCCAAAGTTACAAAGGAGGAGGACAAAACACCGGCTTGTATCAGCCATTGCCGGTTCCGGACACAATCTGGGAAGATTTGAGTTTAGACTTCGTCTTGGGTTTGCCGCGGACCAAACGAGGTAACGATTCAATAATGGTGGTAGTGGATCGTTTCTCTAAAATGGCACATTTTATAGCATGTAAGAAGACATTTGATGCACTTAATGTGGCAAAACTGTTTTTCAAAGAAATCGTTCGCTTGCATGGTATACCGAGGAGCATAACGTCAGACAGGGACGTTAAATTCATTAGCCATTTCTGGCGAGAGTTGTGGAAGAGATTGAACACCCAAATTCAATTGAGCTCGTCTTACCATCCCCAAACTGACGGGCAAACGGAGGTGGTTAACAGAACGTTGGGAAACCTTCTGCGGTGCTTGGTGCAAGAGAATCCTAAGCTCTGGGATGATGTGCTTGGTCATGCGGAATTTGCTTTTAATTCCATGGTTAATCGCTCCACCGGTATGTGTCCATTCAATGTTGTTTATACCAAAATGCCAAATACCATTCTTGATATTGCAGCCCTCCCAAAGGTTCATAGCAAGGCTGCTAATGCCTTGGCTGATCAATTTACAAATCTCATTGCTGATGTAAAGTTGAAACTGCAAGAATCTAACGACAAATACAAGCGGGCAGCTGATGTTCATCGCAGGGAGAAAATTTTTCACCCGGGAGATTTAGTGAATGTACGCATTCGCAGGGAACGCCTTCCCACTGGACAATATTCCAAACTGACCAAGAAGAGATGGGGTCCATTTCCAATTAGTCGAAAAATCAACGACAACGCTTATGTTGTCGATTTGCCGGCAGAGTTCAACACGTCTCATACTTTTAACGTTGCTGATATCTTTTCATATATGCCGCCGGATGAAAGCAACACCAATTGTGAATCTGTTAACACAGATTCTTCTCAGAGCGGGGACGAATGATGCGGTGCATCTCACCATGCGTGGGTGCGGCTACAGGGAGTGCTTTCCTTTTTATTAGCTGCTTATTAATATTAGTTTCTGTTTTATTTCTATTCCTGCTTTAATACCGTTCGAGCCATGTGCTCCACTATCGTTGCCATAGTTGGTTATTTTGCTTTTCGGGCCTTTTTACTGTTTGGCCCTTATTTAGTGTATCGGGTATTCATATACCCCATAGCAGGTCTTTTTACAGATATAGAGAAATATACTACACAGTATTTTACTGTTCCATTGCAATTCCTCTTGTTTCCTCTGTGATTTCTCTTGCAGGTCCGTTGCCGGCATCACCAATGCATCTCCACACTGACCAAATCAATAACAAAGAAACAGAAAAAAGGTAGCAAGAAATAGAATACAAAACAATTATCTTCTTCTCCGGCCCCTCCCACGAAAACGCCCACGAGAAGCAACCGAGATCATGATAGGTCTATCCCGAACCAGAGTAAATTCGTTACCAGGGTCAGATCCATCATAAAAATTAGGAGAGGCCACACCACAATCTGAAAAATCGAATTTAGATTCAAATTCAGACGAACCATGTAGCCAATCCCCATAGTTCCTAATATCAAAACTAGAATTGACACCCAACCGATTGACCATAGTGTTCGTATCGACCAAGTTTACAGGGACATCAACTAGATTGTTAGAACCAACCGAAATACCATTCAAAGTATCCACCCGCACACACTCAGCATTGAAATCCACATTAACAGCAGGAGAACCTGAAGCCTCAACACCCAAACCACCAGAGACTTCATTAACACTCATACGCAAAATCTCCTCACCCTACGACATTCCTCCATAACATTATTATTAACACGAGCAGTTAATGTGCCCGGAGAACTCCCAGCCGCATTAAAGCCCCCAGCCTCATTAAAACCCCCAGCTATAGCACCATGCTCACCCAACGGAGAATGAACAGAGGGTAACGCATCAACCACCACTACATTTGCATTAATATCACAATCCAACACCCCATGAGCCAAAGGAACTTCAACATTAACCAAATCATTTTCACAGAGAGGGGCATTAGCAGAAGTAATATGGTTGACAGAGGTCACAACAGGTTTAGAAACATGATCAACCAGCAAGGGAGCCGCATTGACAGCAGGACGCAAGTGAGGAAAAAGCTTAATACATTTCGATTTTTTATGCCCCACAGCCTTACAGTGCAGACAGAAAATTGGCATACCTTCAAAAACAATTTTTTGAACGTAGCCAAATTTTTCCGGACCCAGCCAAATGGAATCAGGGTAAGATTTAGAAATATCAATTTCAACAAGAATGCGAGCTACTGAGGGACGAGAGCCAATAGCCGTAGCATTATCAGTTTGAATCGGGCGTCCAAATATAGATCCCAAACCAAAAAGAATTCGGGGGGAGAAGAGGTGCGGACGCAAACTAGGAAACGAGAGCCAAACAGGGACAATAGGCGATTCCTTTGAAAGATTAAGATGAGGCGACCACTTAATAACTTTTATGAAACATCTAAACACAAAGTAAGAGCGATGCGCAAAAATTCTCCCATAATCAAGATCATTCGAGAGTTTGATCAGAACATTGGACTGATCCAACACAATGACAGAAAAATCGCCGGATAATTTAAGATTGAAAAAAAAAATTACAGATTGATTCTAAATCAGGCCGCTTAAGTGAAAATTTCCCCACCAATGCAAATTCAAAAGGTTTAGCAAGATGTAAAAATTCATCTTCTGAAAACCACAAAGCAGGCATCCCTCGAATCGTAAAAATATGAAAATCAGGAAAACTTTTCGAAGCATCAGCACCAGACAAAACATCTTTGAAGGATTTCGAATGCTTACACTCCAAAAACCCAGGATCTAACCGTTTATTTGCCATGAAAAGCAGGGCAGCCGGAGCCGAAGACAGAGACGGGACGATGGCGGCTAGGGCAAAAGCCCTAGCAAATGGGAAAAAACCCTAGCAGGCGAATACAACGCATTTTTGAAATTCTATAGCTACTACGAAATAAATTTTTTTAAGCTAATGGAAAAAGCAACTTCTTAGACTTTGTTTTAGAGAGCTTTCTTATTGCATTCAAAAGCAGCTTTTTAGTACAACATTTCTTTTAAAACAATTTGTTCTAAAAAGTTGTTTCAGAAAGTAACAAGAAAGCTGTCCCGAACAGAGCCTTAGTCTCATGTCTATTCATTTAATAATTTTTTTCCAAACAAAACGTAAATCATATTTCACTGTAGATAAACACATGCACATTATATATCACAATGGCAATCATGCAGCTCTAATTATTAATTAGGGGGATTTACATACATATCACTTTAATTATTTTCAAAACAATTTCTCTATAGTACTGAAATATTTTATTATGCAAAATCGGGAGAAAAAAAATTAGCATAGTAATTAATTAGAATCTTAATTATTTGTTATGTCAAACATCATTATTAAAGATTAAAATGAAATTATCTTATTGAATGGCCTGATGGCCTCCAAATAATAATAAACTATTTTCCTTATTTTACTTAATCGACATTTGCAGAAGTTAATTTATGTTGCAGAAGTATTATGAATACACCTAAAAGATTATGTTGGCATAAGATTTGGAGGAATCTAATCTGATCTTCCAATGGTTCAAAAGAGACAAAATTAGGTATCTAATTAATTTTTCAATGCAGCAAAAGATGTCAAATTACTCTAAACCTTCAATAGTTGTGCGCATTTTACTAATTAACACAGTTTAATGTTAGGGATAATGAAACAAAAGGATATTTTTTTTTAATTAAAATTAAGGCTTTGTTTGGAACTATTTCTTTTACTGTTTTCTAAAGAAGCTTTTTAGTATAAAATTTATAACTCAAAAAACTTTTATACTGTAGAGTTGATTTAAAAAATAATAAAAAAGTTTTCCCAAACAAAACATAAATATAATACATCATTGATTAAACTAATTTTCATGTCAAAAGTTAGGCTATTGGTTATTATATTTAAAGTTATATATCTTGTTTCTAGCGCGCCTCGATGCAAATATAGATATACATTTTTTTTTGTTTATATGACCTTATCAAGATAATACATAAATGAACAAGATATAATGGAGTATTCTTTGTATTTTACTCGTTAAATAAACGAGCTTTTAGAAAAAAAATCAAACTCCGACTAATAATTAAGGTTTTGTTTGAGGCAGTTTTTTTACTATTTTATAAAGTTATTGTAGAGAAAATAACTTTTAAAAACTATTGTATCAAGCAGTTTTTTAGTACAATATTTTTTTGAAAGCAGATAAAAAAATAACGATGAAATCAAATTTGTGATTACACTATGTAAAAAAAATTGCAAAAAAGCTGTCCCAAACAAAACTTAAATAAACAAAAAAAAAAAAAAACTTTTTTGACATTTTTAAAGTATCCTCATATGATTTGCTTATTTGATCATCTATCACCTTTTTCATTGGGCTCTTTTGAATCATCTAATGTTAACAATATAAGGTCAAATTGTACTAACCTTAAATAAAATTTGAAATTGGTTTTTTTAAGCTATTATAAATATGATAAATTTTTACAGTCCAATTAAAATAAGTTCACACTAAAACAAATCTGATTGGGAGAAGAAAGTTATTGAAAAATCATAATAAAATTATAGTAAAATAAAAGTATAACAATTATATGTTAAATAAAACAATTAAAAGTTATCAAAAAGCATCATTGCATCTGTCTTTGGAGAAGGGTTGTTTCAAACATTGACCCGTTTTCAAAAACGGATCGGGCTCGGTTACCCAATTAGTATCAGGTCAATTCCGGATTAGACTCAAACCCGAACTGTGACCCGATTTTAACAGCCCTAATTATTTGATTGTTTCTAATAACTCAGATCTTCTAGAAAGAAAGATATACAACTTTGCCATCATATTTATCAAATCAAATCCTAAATATCAAAATTTTTTCTTTGATAGAAGCTTCATTTGTGCGAATGCTCTCTAAAAATTCATCCAAGTTACGCTAAGATTGTTTATCAATCGCCCCTAGCAATC